CCCCATCATCGTGTCACCCTCATTTAATTTTTTGGATGCAAGTCTCATGTAAGGATCCACGGTGAGGAACAAAGCTTCAAGCAGGACCTCTCCATCTTTTAAGGGTGGGAGCTCAGCTGTCTTTAACTCAAAGTCACCCTTAGTAGGGTTGCCTTTAAAGTGCTTCTTCAGGGTCCATCTTTTAGCATGAACCATCCTGAAGCTCCTTTCTTGGGCCAGTGAAGGAGTCGCTCTTCCAGATGTATTTTTTTTTTGTTTGTTTCATTTTCTTGCCTAATTGGCCTGGTTAGAATCTTCAGTACAATCCTGACTAGAAGTGGCAAGAATGGACATTCTTCTCTTGATCCTGATCTTAGGAGGAAAAGTTTTTCTCTTTCACCATTTAAGTATGATGTATGATCTTTAACTTCTTCATAGATGTTCTTTATCGGGTTAAGGAGTTTCCCTTCTATTTTTAATTCATTGAGTATTTTTATCATGAAGCATCATTGAATTTTGTCAAATGCCTTTTCTGCATCTATTTTGATAATGTGGTGTTTTTAATATAGTCTATTATGTGGTGTATTACTTGAATTGATTTTTAAAAAATTAAACCCATCTTGCATTCTTGGGATGAATCTCACTTAGTCATAGTGTATAATCCTTTTTATTATCATTGGATTCATTTTGCTAGTATTTTATTGGAGAGTTTTGCTTCTATATTCATAAGAGATTGTTCTGTAATTTTGTTCTCTTGTGATGTTGTTGTCTGTTTTTAGTATCAGTAACTTATAAAATGAGTCAGTAAGTGTTCTAGGCTCGGCACCTGTGGCTCAAGTGGCTAAGGTGCCAGCCACATACACCTAAGGTGGCAGGTTCGAATCCAGCCTGGACTTGCCAAACAACAATGATGGCTGCAACCAAAAAATAGCCAGGCGTTGTGGCGGGCACCTGTGGTCCCAGCTACTTGGGAGGCTGAGGCAGGAGACTCGCTTGAGCCCAGGAGTTGGAGGTTGCTGTGAGCTGTGAAGCCACGGCACTCTACCCAGGGGTATAGCTTGAGGCTCTGCCTCAAAATAATAATAATAATAATAATGTGTTCTATTTTTAGAAAAAAAGTGAAATTGATTTCTTCTAGGTTTTTTATTATGGTTTTATATATATACAATGTACTATTTTATATGTATAAAATGTACTATTTTAACCATTTTTAAGTGTATAGTTCAATGATGTTAAGTACATTCACATTGTTGTGTAACCATCACCACCTTCCATCTCCAGAACTTTTTTCATCTTCCCAAATATTTGGTAAAATTCACCAGTGAAGCTACCTGATCCTGGGCTGTTCTTTGTGGAAAGTATATATATGTATTCACACACACATGTGTATATATACACATACATATATGCGTGTATGTGTGTATATATATTCATATATTACTGATTCGATTTATTTACCTGTCATAGGTATATTCAGAGTTTCTGTTTCTTCTTGAGTTTATTTCCTTAGTTTTGTATACTTCTAGGAATTTGCACATTTCACACAAGTTATCCAATTTGTTGGTATATTAATTGTTCATAGTATTCCCCCAAGAATTCTTATTTCTGTAAGGTCTTTGGCAATGTCTTCTCTTTAATTTCTGATTCTATTAGTTTGAGTGTTCTCTTTTTTGCTTGGTTATTCTATTTAAAGGCTTGTCTATGTTGTTGATCTTTTTAAAGAACTAACTTCTGTTTTCATTGATTTTTCTCTATTGTTTTTCTAATCTCTATTTCACTAATTTTCACTCTAACCTTTACTATTTCCTTCCTTCTACTTGCTTAGGATTTAGTTTGTTCTTCTTTTACCAGCATCTTGAGGCAGAAGGGTAGGTTGTTTATTGGAGGTCTCTTTTTTCTTTTTTAATGTGACATTTACACATATAAATTTCCCTCCAAACACTGCTTTAGCTTCATCCCACAAGTTTTATTGCAATGTCATGTTAACTAATCTCAAAGGATTTTCTAATTCCTTTTACAACTTCCTCTTTCATTCATTGGTTATTTGCTGGTGTGTTAACTTCCCTATATTTGTGAATTTCACAAATCTTTTTCTATTAATTTCTAATTCCACTTCATTATGATCACAGAACGTATTCTGTAAAATTTCAATAATTTAAAATCTACTGATCCTAGTTTTATGGCTTAACATATGGCTTATCCTGGAAAAAGTTCCACATGTGCTTGAGAAGAATGTTTGTTCTGCTGTTGGGTGTAATGTTCTACAGATGTCTGTTAGGTCTATTTGTGTGTAGTGTGTTTATGTCATATTTTCTTTCTTTCTTTTTTTTTTTTTTTTTCCTGGGCTTAGGTGATTCTCTTGCCTCAGCCTCCCAAGTAGCTGGGACTATAGGTGCCTGCCCCAATTCCCAGCTATATGTAATATTTTCTTATTGGTCTTCTGCCTAGTTTTTGTCTACCTTGTTGAAAATGGATATATATATAATATGTACTGAAGTCTCCAACTGCTTTTGTTGTGCCATATGTATTTCCCCTCAATATTGTAGCTGTTTGGGACTCACATATTTTGGGACTCTGTTGTTAGGTGCATAAATGTTTATAATTGTTATAATTTCCTCATAGATAGCATTTTTATAATTGGATCATTTAACAAATTCACATTTAATGATATTATTGATACAATCAGATTTACATCTGCTATTTTACTTTTTGTCTTATATATGTCTTGTGTATAGCTCCAAGGATAAAATGAGCTCTTGTAGTAGGGGCTCTCATATGTAGTAGGGAGTACAGATCCCATATGTAGTAGTAGTATAGATCCCATACATAGTAGGGGTTCTGAAAACAGTAACCTGTTTTCAGTACAGATCCCATATGTAGTTGTAGTACAAATCCCATATATAGTAGGGGCTCTGAAAACAATGACCTATATTTGGGCCTCAAGCAGTCACAGGAATCCACTTACCCCAGCATGCTTACATCAAAGTCAGGAAGCATGCATGCCTAGTCAAAGCCACTGGGAGCTCCTTCTCCCTAGTGCATGCCTCTCTAGCAGAGCATCTTATAGTGAACTTCAGCAAAGGCTTAAATCTCAGGCTGGGATCACATACTGGGCCATCCTAACAAGCCAGTCCCTCCTGATGAAGGTCAGTAACCTTCAAGAACCACCAACTGGGCCAGAAAAAGCTCCCAGGACATGTTTCTAGCCCCAGCTAAGGTCCTGAGTTTGTGCTTCAACATCTGTTCCTGCCATGGGCCGAGTGTGACTGAGGCTTTTGGAGCCAGTGCTAGGAAGGAATGAGAAGGGAGCAGCAACTCAGCTGAGTGTCCAGCCTCTGACTGGTAGATGTCCAGGCCCTCACTTTGGAAATATAAGCTTTCCCACAGCTGGTAGCCCTCCTACTCCACCCAAACTCTGCTTGATTACCTCCCAAGACAGAGGACTACTTCCCCTGAGACAGCTCAAGGCCTTCCTGCTATTTCCTCATCTGGTCTCATGTATGGAGCCACTCATTCAACACATGCACTGGGCACCTTTGGTGTGCCCAGCCCAATTGCTGAATTTGAGGACACACAGAAAGCGATCAAACAGAAGTCCTGGAAATCACATGTGATCATATGCAACAAATGCACAGGAGGTGGCTGGACCTGGGCTCTGGGAGAATAGGCAAGGAGACCCCTCTCAGAACAGGGCCTGGGAATGCTCCTACACTTGCTCTTGACTCTGTGGTCCACTGAGTGTCTGAAGCTGGCTCCCTACTGCTGAGAGATCAGGCTGGCAGTTTTAGGAAGGACTCAGATCTAGGACAAGGTAGGCTGGAGAGTGAACTCTGGACTTTGAAGCTAGATGTAGATTCTAGCATGGCTCTGCCACAGAGTAACTGGGTGACTATGGGCCAGCCGGTCACTCATCAGGGCTGAACCTCGGTCCACATATCTGTAAAAGGGAAAACTGCATCCCCATCAGGCTGAGATGGAGGGAATTAAGTGGCATTCCTAGGCACTCACTAACGTCTGTACCTAAGGGAGGCAGTGGGTGCCTGTAGCTGCCCCTGGTTGGTTGACACCTCCCCAGGACCCTGTCTCCCAAAGTCCTAGGACGGGCGTCCTCAAACTATGGCCTTCGAGCCACATGCGGCCCGCTGAGGACATTTATCAGGCCCGCCCGGTGTTTTTGCTGTCGCTGCCTGTCCTACCTAGCAGCCGAGTTGTCCCAGGTCCCGCAGTCTGGCCCTCCAATGGTCTGAGGGACAGTGACTGGCCCCCTGTTTAAAAAGTTTGAGGACCCCTACCCTAGGAGAACAAATTGACCAGTTCCCAGGAACTTCCTTCTGTAAGGCTCTCAGGGACCCAGCTGTAAGTCCTAGAGGAGATTCTTGTACCCTTCCCTTACTCTCACACACCACACCACTTCCTGGAAGTCCCCTCCCACTTTTGCCTTTTCCTGCCTGGAATGCCTCACCCTGTTTTCCCTGAGCTAACCAGTTCTCACCCTCTGCAACCACCTCTGGGAAACCTCTGAATTGATCCAACCCTCTCCCGCTGGTCCTCCCACAAGCCTGCCTGAGGCCAGCAGAGTAGTTCTTCACACTCTGCCCTCCTTGGATATCTCCCACCCCTTCCCAAGACATTTGTAAAGCCATTGTGATCTTTCAGCCTCATGTCTTGGGGGAACAGACTCCTTGTTTAACATTCAAGAGTCTTGGATTCAAGCCCCAGATCTGCCACTAGAATGCCGTGTGATCTTGGACAAATCCATTGCCCTCTCTGAGTTTCCCTTTTCTTCTGAGTTAATTGCGCTCCTAGAGTTTCATTGACGTGAAGGGGTAGTGGGCCCCCACTCCCAGAGGTTCCTGCAGACAGTGGGGCAAGGTGTTACTTGGCGTCAAGTCCCATGGGCTTGACTCCCAGCTGTTCTTCATTCATTCAGGGGTGGAGAAATCACAGGGCAGTAGGGGTGGAGGAGAAAGGTGTGTAGCAGGCCTGGGACTCAACTCAGTGTCCTCTTCCTCTATCCACAGTAGCACGATACAACCGTACCAACTACTTCTACCCGACATTCTCCGAGAGCTCAGAGCACAGTCATCTGCTCGTGTCTCCTGTGTTGGTGGCAAGTGCCGTCATAGGTGTGGTCATCATCCTCTCCTGCATCACCATCATTGTGGGTAGCATCCGCAGGGACAGACGGGCCCGGCTCCAGCGGCACCAGCACCGCCACCGCCACCGCCACCACCACCACCACCGGCGGCGGCACCGACACCGAGAGTACGAACACGGCTACGGTGAGCTGCCACCCACCCCAGGCCCTGGGACCCTGGGACTTCCATCAGATGGTGATTGATAGTATCAATCGCACCTCTGCCATGGGTGGGGCAAGGTAGTCAGGGAAGGCATCCTGGAGGAGCCTCAGGTGATCAGGAAGAGCTCACAGGTGCCCACGGTTCGTGGTGGCATGAGAGGAACTCAGAGCAAGGCTGAGGTCAGAGGGAAAGTGTGTCACTACTCCTCAACCCCTGCCTTGCTGGTTCAGAAGGCACCTGGGCAGAGGGATGGAGAGATGGAGGGACCAAGGGATGGGTGGGTGGATGGAGGAATAGAGGGAAGGAGGTATGATTGGGATGGGGGATGAAAAGATGAGGCACTGAGTGGAAAAATCAGTGGGAAGATGGAGAGATAGATGCCTGGAGGAGATAAATGGATAAATGGGTAGATGGAAGAACGGATGAATGGAGGTAGAGGAATAGAGGAAGGGAAGATGGGTAGATGGATGGGTTGAGGGGGGTGCATGAGTGGGTGGATAGAGGTATGGGTGGGTGGAGGGGTAGAAAGATGGATAGATAGGAGAGCAGAGGGATGGGTAGGCGTGGGTGGGCATATGAATACATGGACAGATGAATGCATGAAAGGAATGATGATTGAATTAAAGCCGTCCCCAGAGAGTCTGCAGAGTGCAAATAGAACTGATTTGAGGGTCTCCGAATTATCAGAATCACCCTTAAGCAGAGGTGGTGGCTAATTCCTAGGTGACCAGTCCCAGAAGTGTCCCTCTGGCCAGAATGCCTCAACTTTTTGAAGAATGCAACCACCTGGCTCTGTCTCATTCCTGGAAGGGGCTAGTTGTCTAAAAGCATCAGGAAGGAATTGGATTCATTCCATTTTCAGACAATTTTCAACGACAGGAAAAAGCCAGGCCCCTCTTACTTCTCTTACTCCCTCCTTCAGTTCACTGTCACCAGGGAGGGAAGCCCCATGACTCTGGGGATGAAATGACTTCAGCCTCCTCTGAGATCCAGAGCCATGGCAGGACCTGAGGCGCTGACCCCTCCAGGCAGGAAGAGTGAAAAAAAAATAATAAAGGAAACATTTTAAAAATAGATTCAACTGAATCCCATCAGCCCTCCTCCTCTCCCTCAACACATCCTGATTAACCAGCAGGTTTGGGCCATTTCCTCTCCCCTTCACAGAGTTAACTGGTTAAGGAAGGAACGAAGGGGAGAGTTAACTGGTTAAGGAAGGAATGAAAGGGTACCTGAAGCCAGTGATTAGAAGCCTGGTAGTGATGACCAATGTGTCCATTTCATTCATCACCTCTTTGGGCAAAGTCTTCACCCTGGTCTGAGGGAGTGGCTTTTTATCACCCTTCCCATTTACAGACCAAGAAGTTGAAGTTGGAATAGTTAAGTAACAGGCCTGGGGTCACCCAACCAGCAAGTGGTGGGTGCCAGACCCGAGCCCAGGCAGCCTGAGCTGGGTGCCCACAGGCTATCCCCTGGACAGTCCCACCCAGGAGAGAGGTCAGAAGGTGAGGGAGACACTGTGGGAGCCACCCCACAGGTCAGGGCAGTGTCTGGCAGACACACCCACAGCCAGGGTGGATGTGCTCAGACCCACATGCTGCTCCTCTGGGAGGGTGGTTAGGACCAGAGGAGCCAGAGGCTGGACGAGACACAGAGCACGTCACAGGGACAAGTCAGGGGCAAACAGCCACTGTGGAAGAAAGACACAGCAGGTTAGTGGTTTGCTCTACACTAGGGACTGAAGAAGGGTCAGCAGTGATAACACAGATGTGGAAATTCAGCTGACCTAGTCCCCATGTCTCCCCAGAAGCCAAGGACTCCCCAGGAAGACAAGCCAGGAGCACTGCCAAGGCCAGGCTTGGCCTGCCCACCCTGGCATCCCCAGCCCGCCCCTGGGGAGTCCAGGGCTCCTGCCCAGAGCATGCCTGCCCCTAAGAGGAGCTCAGACACCACCCTCAGCCTCCCCCTACCCTAGGAGGGTGCTGGGCAGCACCTACAGGGCCACTCTTCCCACCTGCCCCCTCACACTGCCTGACCCTTTGCTCAGCTGCCACTGCCCCTCTCCAAACAGTACTGTGTGCTCCCGCTAACCACTGCCCCTTCACATATGCTTTTCCCTCTGCCCAGTCTGCTGTTCCCTGTGCTTCTCCAACTGACAAAATCCTTACAGGCCCAGCTCAAACGCTGCCACCTTCCAGGAGCTTTTCTGGCCTCCCTTTGCCTTCCTAGCAGATTTGAGTTGGTGTCTCCCTTCCCTGCACATCCTTGACATTGTTCCCACACCTCCCCCAGCGCCCCAGCCCCTGCATGACCGTGTTGAGCAGTGAGAGGAGGACCTTCATGTGACTCACCCCCACCTGGGCCCAGGGTCCAGCCCCAGGCCTAGCCCAGAGAAGATGCTCCATGCACAAGGGGAGGAGCCACCTCTTTTCATCCTCACAGCAAGAGGGTAGTAGCCCCTTTTCAAGACTAGGAAACTGAGGCACAAAGAAGCAGTTTGCTGAATGGCCTGTATGTCTCCAAGCCTGGACTGGGACTTGAGCACACACTAGCAACCCATAGTAGTTCCAGGCTTCGAGGGCTGAGAAGTTGGCCTTGGCCTTGAGGAGAGAGGCAGGCCTAGGGGAAGGCCAGTCCTTCCATCATCTTTGGGGGCCTGGGCCAATGAGCAAGGCCCTGGCTCTGATCTCTGAAGTGGACAGGGTGATTGGGGTTACAACTGTGCCAAGCCCAGGGTCAGCCCTCTGAAACTCCCTCCCCAGCCCCATCCCGGTGGCACCTCTGTACCCTCCACAGCCCTGTCACAGCAGCACCTCAGGGGGCCCATCTCCCTGCCCCACTTCTGCTTTGGCATCTCCCTGGGGCCTCAGCAGGGGGTCCAGAGGCACTGCCACCCCACACCTTCCTCCAACCTTCTGGAGAGTGAGCAGATGCTGCTGGGAACCTTGGGAGGCTGCCGGGGAGGTGGGAAAACTCACTGTGAGATAGCGCAGGAGGGCACAAAAGCAGCAGAGCACTGTGGGCACCCACCTATGGCACGGGGATGGGGACCCTTCCACCTGTCAACCGCGCCCTCCCAGCTCTGGGAACTGAAGCCCCCAGCCCCTCTCCTACCCCTCTTCTCTGCCCCATGTACATCAGGGTCCCTCAGAGCCCACTGCTGGGTCCTGGTTCTCTCTCCATACAACACTGCTCCATCCAGTCGGCCACCATCCATCATCTTCCCTGCAGGTAGCTCCAGCCCTCCTGCCAGACCACCAGAACTGCATGCCCAGAGCCCCCCTACACATCATCCTCAAGGTCCCAGCAGCATCTCGGATTCAAGGTGCCCGATTTCTACTGACAACCTCAGTAAAGTTGCCTAAACTCTCTGTTCCTTGAGTGAGTCATCTATAAAATGGGTACACAGGGATCTACCTCAGAAAGTTACTGTGAGACTAAATAGCACAGCACCTGGCTAATGAGTAAATGCTCAATAAACGTGAGCTATTTTCATCATCTTTTCCCCAAAGAAAACCTGCTCCTGGGCCACTTCACTGTTGTCAGCTGTCCCCAACTGGCACCTGGTAGCTCTAGGTCATTCTCCACAAAGTAGCCAAAGTGACTAGACTGGGACCACTTCCATCCTCTGCTCAACATCCCTCAGTGGCTCCCTATCACCTTCAGGACAGAGTTGTCCCTCTGCCTGCCCACAGGGCCGTCTGCAGTCTGGCCAAACAGAGAGAGAAGAGCCAACCAATGTTAGAGAGTGAGAGTCAGGGAAGATGGAGAGAGGGAAGAAGAGAGAAGAAAGAGAAGGAAGGAAAGAAGGAGGGAGGGAGGGAAAGAAGGAAATTTTGTTCCATCTTGAGCTTTCAGAGCAGTCTGGTGGCTGACTGTGTCCTCTCTTTGCTCATGGTTTAGAGCAGGTGACTTCATCTCTCCGTTTCTTCATCTGGTGGAAGGGGGGACCGTGAGGGTAGGGCACAGCAGGTGCAGATGGGTGCAAGTTCCTCTCTCTTCTTCTCCCAGAGCCTCCCAAAGGACTACCATGGATGGGGGTTAAATAATCAACCAAGGTATTTCTTTATTTTGATAAGGAGGAGGATAGGCAGGTCTCACCTTTCATGAGGTAGAAAGCAGAGCCTTCCAGACTCTTAGGCCATTTGGGTTGTGCTGATACAGAAATCAGAAGAGAGGGGGAAAGAAGGAATTGGGGGAGTTCCAACGGGGCTGAGGGGACTAGTTTCCTTCCAGCTATCTCTCAGGAGTTCTGTCCAGCTGGATATCTGGGGCTGACCTTGGTCATCTCAGAGTTGGGGTCCAAGCTAGGGGAGCACCTCGGGGTAGCCTCAGTTTCCCTGAAATGTTCAGCCTTGGAGGCCCGAGAAGAGAGGGTACACACAGTTTGGTTCAGGCCTATCAGCACCCAGGGATGCCCACTGCAGCCATCCCCCTCAGGTGCAGGACACACCCCTGCTTACCCTATGTGACCTCCACAACCTCCTGCCAAGCAGGTAGAAGAACTCTTCCCTGAGCCCACAGACAAGGGGGGTAGCAGAGGCCTGCTCCCTGGCAATGCTGGCTGGGACAGGACCCAGCATTATCACAGCCCAGTGGCCCTGGTTCAACTTCTGGGCTCACTGTGTTGTTTTGTGCTTTCATCTCTCTTTAGTTGCTTCCCAAAGGCCTTCCAAAAATTCTGTCTTTCAGCTGAAGCCCTGAAGGGAAACAAATATCCTTCTGCTCCTTTTTTATAGCATATGTTATTGGGTTCATTTTTCCTGGCAGAAAAGTAATACACGTACATTCTAGAAAACCTTATAAGCACAGACAATATAAAGAGAAAATAAAGGTCATGATCCTGTCATCTGAACAGAGCTACTGTTAATATGTTTGGAATATTTTCTTCTGAGAGCTTTTTCAGTGTCTACTTAAAACCCTGGCATTATACCTGGAGACGGTTTCTATCTGAATTTTTCCACTTATTTTGTATCCAGAGTGGGAAAAAGAGTTTAGGAAAGTGGAAAGAGCAGTTGGGGAGGGGGTTATACAAACTACATGAATTTCAACTTCCTGCCTTACCCATCTTGTGACCCTGAGCCTTACCTTCCAAGTCTGTAGAATGGGATGGCAACTGTACCACGCACTGCAAGGAGAGGTTAAAGCCCCGCCCCTGGTGCCAAGCCCCACCCCCAGAGGGGAGGAGTCACCGAGAGCCCTGAAGCTGCAGAGACTTCATAGCTGCACGTTCCCAGCCTTGACTAGCTCTCAGAACCTGGAAGGTGGGGGAGCTTAGAGCATGAGAGCCAAAACAGCCACTGCCCTCTGGCCCTGCTACTCACTGTAGGTCCTCTAGAAAGTCACCAGGTCTCCCTGAATCTCAGCTGTAGAATAAGAGACTGGTGCTCCCCAGCTGCATTTCCTAAGCAGTGCTACTAGGTCTAAGAATGTAAGATTCTGTGGTTAAATGGTGGACAAGCACAGCTAAATGTGTTTCTTAGATGCAGGACTTTTCAGACCCTTTAACATATTAATGTGTGCTTTAAAACCCCAGAGGAGAATGCATGTGGACTTGCCAGATTCATCATAGATTCCCCCTTTATTTCCCCCTGGGATACCTAAAGGGAATAGTGTGTGGTTGGCCTGGGGGGGCTGATCCCAGAATTCTCTGCAGCCCTCTTTCCTTCTACTTTTCTCCCCGTTTTCCATGCCCCAACCCAACTCCACAGCTCAAAGTTCCCTGTTCACACCACAATCTTCTTGTCTCCCCCTCGGCTCAGGCTGGTTAGTTCCCTCCTCCTGGTCTTCTCCTCTTCTCCTGGCTAATTCCTAGATAAGACCCAGCTCTGGCAGCCCCTCCTCGCCTCCAGGCTGGTTAGGGCTGTCTCTTCTCTCACAGTCCCAGAACTGCCTCTAACAAAGTTCACAACACACTGCGTGGTACCGGGCTGTCCCCAGGGCAGACTGCCACTGCCCTGGAGGCCCACCAGGAAAAAGACCAGTCTGCTTCCTCTCTGCTATCTCATGTCCAACCTTGCAATGGCAGGCACATTCTGGGGCTGCCTCTGAGGCATGACGGCAGCTCTGAGGGCAGATATGAGCCTCACTGGTCTCAGGTAGACCCATAAGGACCATTCCGAGGCACTGGCCTGAGGCCTAGGCTGTTGGTCTCTTCCCTGCAGTGTCCGACGGACACACGTCCAGCCGCTCAAGCCACAGGATGCGCTATGCCTGTAGCACCACAGAGGACTGGCCCCCACCCTTGGACATCAGCTCTGATGGGGAGATGGATGCCACGGTGCTCCGAGAACTATACCCAGATTCTCCACCAGGGTAAGAAGGACACACAGGGAACAGGGCATAAGAGGGCGGGGCTCTGGACACAAGGACACCCCCACCTAGGAAAATGGTGGTACCTCTCCACATGGGATAGGTGCAGAAAACGTGTGTGGTGGCTGTGGCCATCTCCTCACGCCTCCTGACCAAGCAGGTCCTCTGAGGCAGTCCATGACTCAGCATCTGTTACCCTGGAGTGCTAGGAAAGGAAGAGACAGGCTCAGCTCCTGCAGACCAGGAGCAGGCCTGCC